ACCATGTTTTTATTTTGGCTAGTGTCGAAATCAATTGTTTTCCTCGGTTTATATTTGTCCATCAAAAAGTGCATGCTTTTAAATGCAAACCATTTAGAATTATAAATACAATCGGCACTGCTGCCTGACTTCGTACTCATTGTTTTTTGCCTTTCCCGGGGGTAAGATGCAAGAAGCGAGTCCATCTTTTTTTTAACTCTTCAACATTACATTCCAGTTGTTTTGCGATTTCCCGCCAAGCATCTTGTTTGTAAGTTGTATTTTTTATAGTTTTCATACGTCGGATCCCACAGGCATCTGAAATTGCGGTAGGCTTCTATCATTAATAAACATTTTTCTTGAGACCAATCCATAATTTAATCGATAAGATACGTAAACAATCGCTAGAACACAAGAACGCTTTGAAAAGACCGCTCAGTGGCGCGAGCACGTCCGAACACGCTAGAACGCTCTAAGTAACTGTTCGCGCGCTCTTGCGCCGTTTACATCTAGCGAACGAGCATTCTTAGAATATTCTATAGAATCTTTGCGAACGCACTAAGAACAACGAAAGAATGCTCTACGCCTGTTTACACTAGAAGAATTTGATGTAGTGGGGATAGAATGAGCATTCGCTCGTTTGATGTAAATCGACCTTAATATAAATGTTTGTAGTAGTAATAAAACGTACCTACATCATCTATGCCCAAATAGGATTTTCTTTCTGTGACCAAAGTTACCTTTATAGTAAGAGAAGAATAAGAATGAACAATCTTTTTAGTTTTAATTTCACTGACCATTACTATTGACAAAACTCTATGGCAGGCTAGACAATCTACTTTTATTTTTTACACCTGTCAACACTGACAATGTTGTAACGTGGCTGTCAAAACGTGAATTCAAAATAGAAAAGTCTGTGTAATGTATTCCAACTCATTCTTTTACACGTTCAATCCTATAGATATATATGTTTGTATCTTTCTACATAACGCCTCAACTTTTCGTGTTACACTTGATTTTACTCCTCATAAAATTTCCGTACCGGGCCTTATAACTCAAATCGTTTCTTAAGGAGTAAACTCTATATGTTTGTCTCTTTCTACATAACGCCTCAACTTTTCGTGTTACACATAACGCCTCAACTTTTCGTGTTACACTTGATTTTACTCCTCATAAAATTTCCGTACCGGGCCTTATAACTCAAATCGTTTCTTAAGGAGTAAACACCAAAAAATTTTATCTAAAAAAAAGTAGATGAAATGAAATATGAAACTATTTATTTAAACAATATTTATCTTGACTTTAGATTTATGAATCGTAAGTAGGTGTTCAGCGACCGTCTTCATATTTCTGTCCAAAACATGCTGAATTTTTCATAATATTTTCTTTTAAAATGCAAACAAGTGTTATTTGCGCACAGCTAAGTTTGGGACGAACTACCTTATGGTTAAGAATTGTATGCTTCGAGTCGAGGCTAACGTGATGTAAAATAATTAACATTTTTTAACACTAGTAATTGTTACTGTATAGTTAACGCATACATATATATTATAATGTTAATTTACCAGTCAAACGAGGGGACGATGAGTGGCCATGCGTCATGCTCGTGAACGGGTGCTGCTTGTGGTGACTGGTCGTACTTGAATTCGTGTATGCGGTGATGTTGGTTATTTCGATTATGTGTTTGCGTGTTGTTCCCACGAGAATGTAAGTGCGTGCTCCTATTTCACCATGACTCCTGCTGATAGAGGACAAGTCTTTGTTTTTTTTTAAATTTATGTTATTATTATTAATTACTTGATATGTCATGTGGAAGATGGTGTAATGGCTGCAGCTCCTTACAAACGTTGTGTAAAAAAAATGGCGATTAAAAAGAGTGGCGGAGAGTTTATTGCCAGTTCTTCTCTCCCGTTCTACGCCCTTGATTTGAGAACTGGCAGTAAATGTAAAATTAGAAGAATTAATATGTATTTCTTTACTGACGAGTCATAAGTGTACATTATGTTACCTATATGATTAAATGATTTTTTACTTTACTTTAATGTTTTGTTATCATAATGGCAACAATAAGACTTGTATCACCGCGACGTCGCTTTGTAAGGCACTTTTTGCCGCGCGCCACCACTATGTAGAACCAGCTGCATAGTGACCGACTGAAGTATTTCTGAACTAATTTCACTCAGGGTTCTTCAAGTTAAGATCGAATCAATACCTAAAATGCCAGTAAGACACTTGTGAGCCTTCTGGCAGTGATTCGCCCTTAGGCTGCGGTATCACTAAACATCAGATGAGCCTCCAGCCCGTTGTCCCCTGTACTATAAAAAACTATTAAAATGAATCAAATTGATACCAATAAGTATATTTATTTTTAAGTTACGCCACTTTCATACTTAAATAACATTTTGTGTTAGTAAATGCTTTTCCTTTTAGAAGTGTTAAACACATGTCACATTCGAAATGTTACATTATAGAGAGCAAAGTTCGGTCACCTAAATTAGACTAATTAATCTTACACGTGGCTTTCATAGCCACGTGTGCAATGAAAAGCAAATTAAAAGCAATGTGTTTGTTCCCTTGAAAATTCGAATGATATGTATAATACTCGACTTACTGTCCTATATCCTCTCGGTGGTGCAGAGGGCATCCATAGGGCTTTATTATCACACTCTCTGTTATATTTTATAGAAGAAGCGACTACGTACAAAAAAATACTAAATTGTAAGGTTATTCATAGTATTTTTTTAAGATGACTGTTACTGATGGTTCTGGAGAGGAGACACATGAAGAAAGTTTTTAATATTTAAGAAATCTTGATTTGTTTTTTCAATATTTGATCTTAAAAATTACATCAACAAACAATAGATTTCGTATTCAAATGCGAACAAATTCATACCTAAGTAAATTAAAACTAACAGCAAGTTACAAATACTTAGCAGAAGATATATCTAATTTAGTGTATTATTTTTGTTACTCACTAACTACCAGAGCGACTTAAAGTGCAGTCGAGGTTTTAGTAAAATGCAGTTACGGGTTGGCAGGATATGTAGCGTATTCGTGAATTTTTGCTCATACCGGCAGACAAAATGCACATAAAAAGTTTCAATAGGAATTAGCCAAGATTCATTCAGTTTAAAGAACGTATTATCTGTAAAATAAAATAAATTTTTTTACATATAAAAATAGACTAAGTGATAGTATACATAGATTGCTTTAACGTACACGTTTTAGGTAATCTGAGCATCAATATTATCCCGAAGGCATACATTACCATACAAATTATCGCTTCGCCTTGCACAAATAACTAACTCAGTGAGCAATATATGGAGAATGTACGAGTAAATAGTGAATATTTTATCACTTTGAAACTCAAACTTGGAAGATGAATATTGGAGTATATTTACAAGACTTACTGTTATATTATTGTTCGTTTTTAATAAGGTTTGTACAATTTGTGTGTCTTTACTTATTTATGTTGTGTATGATACGTTTTTAAGTCCTATTCTTCAAGATAAAAGATACTATTTAATTTTCTATTAAATATTGTTTTAGTACTGTTGACGAATCATATGATTTCATCAGTAATCAAAACCTGTGACATTTTGTTATAATAACCATCGGAAATGCACTATTCTGTTACATCTTTGGCTCTTTACAACAATTGTCCTGACACTATTTTATTTAATGTGACAAACTTAAATTTTTATCTTTATTGTTTTTAAGTTTCATTTGGGAGTTGGTTTTTTTAACTTCTGAATTTTTATCTGTTATTTATATTTTAAATTGTAAAAATAATATTTGTATTATTTGAAGGGCCTTGATGTAACTACATGTTTTTAGTATTTGTATTAAAAATAGTCTATCGCCTTTTGCGACACAAATTTCAACTATAACGGACGAATGGTAATAAAAAGCTTTCTTTAATTTACTTTATTTTTAAGGAAAATGTCTTAAATGACACCACTACCTTTTTAGAGACAACTAAATAAAGCATGAAATATAAAAGTACCAAGTTACTTACTGACGAAGTGCACGACTATGCACTCTTACAAATGGCCCGATTCTCTGTGTATGTCATAACTTATACGACTAAAGTCACTGTGAAAGCTCACAATAAGATTAAGAAGGATGTAACTGAAAATAGGTTATGTTTTCTTTAAAAAGTATCTTATTTATGATGGAATTAACCTTGATTAGTGCTCTTTGTACCTTTCATAGCGAAATTTCAGTATATTTACAAAACAAATCTCCCATCTTAATATTTAGTTTATTAAAACGAATTAAAACAGTTTCTGATTTTTACTACACTTTGCTAGAATGGATGTCATGAGGACTAATATTTTGATTATTCAATTATATCTAAAAAAGCACAAGAATATAAAAATGAATAATTGAACAGTCTGTAAAAGAGCTTACATTCCATTAAAAAGCTCGTAAAAGGAAAGGGAAATCGAAGCCTTTTCTTAATGTGACTTTCATTTACAAATTTGTTTTCGAGAAAAATGTGTGAATTGTTATGTATCATCTCATATATTTAAATAATGTAAAAATGATGTTATTGAATTGATAAAATTATTTTACGAGTAAACTTTGTAATATATAAGTCATTTTACGCATGTAAGTTTGGATTTGCAGATAATAAACATTCAATTAGTTTGAAAACCGTCTTCAATATCACTTCAAGCATGAATCTACGCCTGGGAAGATTTTTTAATGATCTGCCTAAACCCTGGACCTTTTTTCTTACCGTTAAGAGTATAGAAAACTTCTGGTTATATGGTAAACATTACAATTAAAATATAAGGACTCAAAAATATTTTGCATTAAAATATAATATTTCTAAGCGCTCGCAAGAGGCACTTCAAAAAATCAGCTTCGCAGTATAAAATAAGTGGCACTTTAGTTTTAACTTTCGCGTGGTCTGCTGGTGACAAGGGTTACTTACAGCCTACAAAGCACTGTTAAACTGTTTTATTTTTGTATAAGTTTTTGTTAAAATTTTCTCTTTTGTTTCAGATCTTAAAATGTCAGTGCCTACAACTGATAGTACAGAAGCAATTACAAATTCCGGTTACGGAAGCAGCGATGAGACAGCTAGTTTACTTGTATCAGGGCCAGCTGTAACCGTTATTATTCCAAATGAGAACAGGAGTGTGAAACCAGTCCTTCAACGCCAGGACTGCACTACACATTTACGTCCTCAACTCTCCGGTGGACCAGGCAGCGAAGAAAGCGCTGCTTCGGTTAGAGTAGAAGATGGGACAACTAGAAGTGTTCCCGATATAGAATTACAATGTAGAGACCAATGCGAACGTCCTCAAACTTTGGTATCGCCCGTTGCGATGTGTTCACACCGCGGGTCCGTTACATGTCAGCTAGTTCCACACACTTGCAATAGATGTCGTGCTTGTGAACGACGTCAGTCAACAGCACCAATGTCATCGTTACACCTAGCGCGATCTGTATCACGTGAAAGTGTTCGATCCGGTCTACACTACCCATGTGGATGTAGTTCTCTACACGCCGTAAGCGCGTGTCCCGTAATACAACCTCCAGCGCTATTACTACCAACCACAAGCAACAGAATCATTCGACAAAGTTCTCAGCCGGAATCTAGCGCATGCGCGGCGCACTGTGCTCACCATAGTCACCACCCTAGCGCCTCTCTGCGGCAGCTACGGGAACCAGGAGATGGAATTGCAGGAATCGCGGCAGACTCGCTCAGAATCAACGGCGGAATGCGGCCATTTAAACAGGTAAGGCTTCGGAGCATAGATGGCGCTCGGCCCAATTTATATTCTACGCAGGGACTGCTACACCACGTAGCACTGACGTAGCACTGTATACTATTACAAATAATGTTATTAATACCGTATATAATATATTGTATGCGCTCGTTATTGTTATTATGACTATATTTACAGGGCTTTCTTATTGAATGCTAAAAGTATAATTATTCTAAATGCTGCTGACTTATATTCCTCTAAATTTTTCTGTCCTTTTTTCAATCCATCGTTGATTGGTGGTATAAAATAAGTTGTCTAAGAAGCGTTGCGGCAAAAAGTTAATCTAATTAGATCGCTAAGCGAATTGCCTCAAGGAAACAGCTGTATAATTACTCGAGTATCTTTACTTTGTTAAGTGATGCCAGTTAATTAAACCAATATCATCTTCTTTAAGTGCTTATCTACAAAAAATTGCCTATAAAATATAGACTTTAAAACTCCGGGTATATTCATTCTTGTTCGAAATTTGAATTCCCTTTGTAGCTGGTCTCATGACTTACTGAGAAGATAAATTAGTATAGCATGTTTAATATAGTACAATACAGCGTGCAAAGTACCATAATGCTCTGCAGTAACTCCATATATTATACCCGTTTCACGTCACTTGGAGCCAACTCGACACATTTCAGCATCATTAAAACAATCTCCGGCTTTTACCCGAACACTATTTTGTATAAACACGTCATTTACTCAAATAGTATCCTAACGTGAAATAAAGGGCGTCGCAGATGATAACACATAAGACATTCTAATTTATATACATTCTGGTCATAACATTAATATGATAGCTTGGAGTATCAAATTTTCAGAAGGTTACACGGATACTTTTATAAATAGTATTCAATATTCAAGTCAAAGCAAATCGTCTTGAACTTCGTCTGAGATGCCTGAGCTTGAGCTGCCGTGTAAGTGCTGTGTAAGGGGTCTTGAGATTCGCTCAGTAGTTTGACTTCGTTCGTGTTTCCAGCAGGGACTGCTCCTCTGCCCACAAACCCTGTCGCAGACCCGTCGTGCTCGGCTCAGGCGTGCATTCACTGAGGCCACGGGAGATACAGTAACCTACGTCCGAACGGTGGGCCCCTTTTTGACACGACTGTACAATATTATTTGTACTTTTCTATTGGTTGTGGATACTATTAGAAAAATACAAGTCAGGCTTTTGTTTTTAATTGAGCAGTGACTTGCACATTGTACAGTCGTGATCTGTGGTGATTTATCACAGAAGTAATTTGTTAGTAGGCGAATGTGACGTCCCCGTAGTCGGTCCCAGCACCCTTAGCTTTTTCATCAGTTTAGGAGATGGCTACATCAACGCACTGGCACGAGACAAACTGGCTTTGTATGCAAATGGGATTTTTTCCTGAGATCAGCAAATTTGTTTTGCTACCATATTCGTTCATGGGTGAAGCTTTGGGAATATCAAGTCGCATTCACAGCACGTTACACTATCACTGCGTTAAAGCACTGTTGCAGGTTTGTTAGATTGCACTGAGCTTAAAGATTTATGTTTTTAAAGTTTCAATACTTGAGTTATAAAACTTTATAGTTACAAAGAAATGTCTCTATACGGTCTGAACTTTATTACTACAGAATTTTCTTTATGTAAACAGCATTTAAATTTGTAATGCGAAAATCTGCGGGCGACCCCAGATTTATCGTTAAACGAATTCTCTCAAAGGGATTTAGTTTAAATCGGGTCCTTCAACGATATAATATTCAAAATCATGCGTATTTGTATGTATGAATTTTGTATTTGCATTTTAAATATTTTATCAATGAAGCATATGTTTTTTGACGTCATATTTTAGCAAAATATACTTAGAAAATAGAAAATAGAAAATTAGGTACTAGAACACAGGTTGCAGCATTCTATAGTCATATAAATATGCTGTATTTTAATTATATAACATTATTACACACTAACTATTTAACGAATTAATATAAATATCACATCAAAAAAAACTTAAAGTTTCAGTTCATAATATGCACCAAAACACAATTGCAATATTTGGTTACTGCAAACATTTCAATATTTAGTAAATAATTAATTGTAAGGAAAATCTTGTTACATAGCAGCCAGGACTAAAGACGTATTCAGTAAGTACCACAATATTATAAACGGGTGTTTCGAATAATTTCCATAATTAGGTTTAGAATTTGAAGGAAATAGATAAACGTCAAATTATTGACAACTGACACTAAAGAAACATAGACAAAATCTACAATGAATTGTATAAAAAAAAATCAGGTACACCAATACGTTTACAAGTACAGTGTAAAGTCTATATAACGACACTCAAGGGACTGTGCATATTTTGACGTTACAAAGAGTTAAATGGAAATAAGAAAGATCTGTAGTAGGAAAAGAAAAAGTTTATTTCAGACTAGTGTTAGTAATTCTCTCTATATGTTGCGGGTAACAGTAAAACTTTTTCTTTAATACACACATTTTCTCTTACTTGCCATGTTTACAGTTTGAAAATTTGTGAGCAACTAAGAATATGATAACATATATACGAGTGTAATAGATAATAGATATCCATGACTCCTACTAACAACAGTTTGTCTACACGTGCAAGCAATCCCAATTTATAAACAAAAAAAATGGATTTTTTAGAAAGTTAACGATGGCGACAGTTGAGTTTATTTAACTATTGTTGTAATTAAGGGTGGGTGTTATCTATTTAGAGTATATCATTGTATGAAAGACAAGCTAAACCAACCAATGAGTGATTTCGACGCTTTAAGGGGTTTGTTGTAAAACCGAGGTACCTTACCTGGAGTTAATACTCTTTTTTCAAATTTTGAACGTTATAGTGAACATAAAATAGTACAATGACAAGATAAAAGTGATATATAGTTTTATTTTACACCTGGCGATTGAATACGGTAAAAGTTTTACTTCGTCCATAACATAAGCTTCCTCGAAACGAGACATCGGATGGGACCAAAAGCAATATTGCAAGCAGCATTCAAGCGGATTTTATTAAGCCATTGTATCTAATGTATCAATATGAGCTATATTCGCTGAAAGGGTACGCTATAAATGGCCTGGAAACTTGCATACGGACTAGCATTATATGATACTGAAATGAATTTTATTTCTTCGGAGGCTTATTGCGCTTTAAGAGCATATTAATATTTAAGCTTACATAATATTCAGTCCTATTATGAGTTTGTATGTATTGACGCTCTTACCTAGGGTTGAAGTTGATCACTAAATAAATACAAAGCCCTCGTTGAACGAAAATTAATCAATAAAGCTTTTTATAAATTTAGGAATACTTAAATGATCCTAATCCTTTGGATTGATTTGCTCCAGTTCAAACAATTTGTATGAAAATACTTGGCGATTAAAAAGAGTGGCGGAAAGTTTCTTGCCAGTTTTTCTTACCCGCTCTACGCCAAGGGCGTACTTGCGAACTGGTAGTAAATTTAAATTTACAATACATAAGTGTACTTGTTTACCTACATGAATAAAGATATTTTAAGTTTGAGTTAACACTTAACATAGGCTCAGTATATCTCACAGGAGTCATATTTGACGTTAAGTCTCTCTGAATCCGACTCTTATCTTTAGTCACGCCTATAACCATATTAACTATACAAACAAATTATATTATATAAATATATTGTTATATTCCCTACAGTATATGTTTTATGTGATTTATATATAAATATTTATAAGTAGTTCATAAATATTATAATCGGATATCTTAATGCTCATTAAGAGCAGAGCAGAGAGACAGGAGTTTTATTATCGCGAATAAAAGATGCATTAAAAATATTGTGCTATTTGTATACAATATCGACGTAGGAAAGCACATTTGCTGTAAGTAGACATATTGCAATTGTTCACCAGAGCCAAAAAACTTTATTAATTTCGGAAAAAAATTAATAGTGTCTGACCTATCCATGATATTGCTACCATTTTTGAAACATATATTTATTTAACTGCCAGTCACCATTTGCAATGTAAACTTTTTATCCAAAGTTACTATAAGTACGTGTTTGGCTAGTTACAGCAAACAGTTTTTTAAATCACAAACCTTTAAAACGCTGTAACTAAGGAAGAAAAATGTACGCGCGGAAATATTATCAATTTACAGGCGGTAAATATGCTGTATGCAGGAAATTTATGTATTTGGGTACTTTTAATTGCAATTCAAGATGTAAGATTAGTTTATAATTATGATTAGATCTAGAAATGCAGTGGGTCATTTGGTAATGTAATGTTTGGTTGAAATAAAATGTCGTAAATGGTAAAAAAAAACCAAAACTGTAGGTTCCCTAAACTTGCTGTAAGTAAACGAATGTAAAAATCACACGCCGCTGAAATGCTGTAAGTAGCGTTAAGTTTTTAAATGGGAAGAAGTAAGTATTTGTAAAGAAAAAAATGCAGATTTTCTTTTTGCTGTAAGTGCAAAATTAGTTTATTCATTTATATTATATTCTTGATTGCTTATAATTTATATGATTCTATTAGCTTAATCTGTAAGTGTATTAATTAAATCGATAAAAGTGTAAAATAGAAAAAAATAAACAAAAAATCTTTTTAATTAATTGAAGTTAATTTTTTATGAACCTCGCTTTTCATAGCTTGGAATGCTTTTGTATAAAAGTCCAGCAAGTCCTTTCGAAATATAAAAATTATAATGGTAACCGGTTTCTTCCAATGCCTAACCAAATATGCAGTACCACCCCGCGGCAGACTAGGTAAAAATTTTAATTGTAAAAAGTATAGATTTTTTGCTTCTTTGCATTTTGTGTGTCATATACTTTAACGAGGTATCTGAATGAGTATCTTTCCAAATATATTACAAATAACGGTAAGTATGTACGTCTAATGGGACGCGGGATAACTTTATTAAATTGCTTAGACTAAAGTTGGGAGCGGTAGTCTAGTAAAACAATTAATTTGTCTCAGTTTAATGCATCGAGGTCTCTCTAGCGGTCTCTAGCGTATAATATTGAAATTAACTGGCTCTCTTGGGATTACAACGATACTTAAAACAAATTGCTACAATAAATTGCAATTTAACTTTTTATATAAAAAGCATCTTGATATATTAAGATATTTGCTGCGTCTTTTGAAATTCGGCTTACAGATATTTATTTATTATTATCACGCTCTTCTAATGTGGTCGTCTTGATTTTATATGTATTGCTTACAGCCTTCCTCGATTGAATACTATACAATACAAAATAACGGTTTGAAATTCCTCATAACAAATAATGAAAATATTATAAGTAACGATAGTTATTTTTATTCAATTGACGTGCTTTACAATGAAGAGTAATAATAGTAAATGTGGTTTAATAACATTTAAAACGTGTAAACGTTCTTATTATAAATGTTACAGTGCTCAATGTTCTGAACTATTGTAATATAAAGAAAACAATCACCAGTTATCTTAACAGTAAAAAGAGAGACAATAAAACTGGCGCCTGTATCGTTCTACTGGATATTATGGGACTCAAAAAACAACGAAACTCCACACTAGCAACGAAATTTTTTATACCAAAAAGGGCGTGAACTTATAATATATTATTGATATACCCTACTAAAGATTATTTATGACTATTCGAGTCGTTGTTAGTACATACGGTGTAGTCATCAATTTTTTATGTGGTTTAATGAATTCAAGCCCAACTTAATAAACCTTCGCGTGCGTGTTAACTATTGTTCATACGCCGTAGGTAAAATACTCTACAACTACTCAAATATAAATTTCGACTATGCATATCAGGTACAAAAGGCTGATCATCTACTTGCTGTAAAATTATCAATAAAATATATCCAGAAATCTGGCGCCACATCGACGTATAATGCCACAATTATTATTTGACAGGAAACCATTGTTGCTTCGATGTACGTTAGTTAATATCAGACTAAGTTTCACGTCTAATCTGCCTTTGAGCTAAGTTCCTATACAGCTCGAAACACAAACAACAATATATCTAGCTTCCTGGTAATCCTTTGATAGCTTTATTTACTTACATAAGAAACTTATAACAATAATAGAACTACGTAAAGTTTTCAAAGAGAAAAAAACAAGCATAAAAAAATGTTTAGTATACGAGTTTTTTTTATCAAGATAAGTAGATAAATTTATATGTAAATCGATTAAAAAAATAAAAATCTCACCAATTGTGTGTCAAAAAGCACTCGCAGTGATC